CACGAAAGCAGCAATTAAGCTGTAATTAGGCAGCAATAGGGATGATGAAGAAATACCAGAGGCCAGTAACCTCTAACAAGGCTTCTGATGGGAAGGTACAGCCCTTGAAAGTCAAATCTTTTCCAAGGTCAGAATTTCTGAAACCTTGGTAGACACAAACCTGCATCCAAAAGCTGGTGGGATGGAGGGAGCTTTTCCAAGGAATATTAAATAACACTTTGGTATATGGATTGGGAATGCACTTGTAGCTGTGGCTGATGACTGCAGTGGTCATCTCAGCACCAGCCTCTTTTTTTTAACAGCATAAATTTACCTCCCTTTTCAGAATTTACAGGGGGAGACACCTAGGTCTTCTGCTAGACCATTCTTATTTTCCTGCCCCCATAAAGTGGGTTGCAGAGCCAAGGCCAGCCCCTTCACAGTACAGGTACAGCAATCAATATGTCAGAGACTAAAAACAATTGCAGCATAAAAAATACCTTTCAGTTTGAGTAACATCCGGCTTTTTTGGCCACCTTATTTTAAATGGCACTTTGACAAGAATTTCTCAATACGTTCATGGGGAGATAAATCACTCAGTTAATCACTTAAAGCATTAATTACTCTGGTTTTGGGATACCTGTTTTTTGCAGTGTACTTCTCCATACCTCACCAGCTGAACAGAATTCAAGAGGTTGTTTTTCCTACAAATACTCGAGGCTGCACACTGTTCTTATCACTTCTGTGAATAAGCAGTACTGCTTTCTGCTACTGGTAGAGAGCAGCGTCTGGTTAGGTGTATATTCATGTCCTGTATTGATGTGAACAAGATGAATTTCTGCACCTTGGAGACAAATAGGAAGGCTTTAGAGATGTCTGGTTAATTGTCAGTCTGTTTTCTGATCGTCTTCAACTTTCCTTCTTTCAAGCAACTACTTATAGAAAGAGACAGTTAAGCAGAGAAACACTTTTATCTGCAAGTTTAAAGAATGTTTCTGGGAATATTACTGCAAAAGTATGGAATGTAGTGGTTACTACATGCACTTTTTAAGAAGAAAGAGAGGGAGGTGCTTGGGGGTGTAGTGGAAGGGAAGTTGCGAAGAGACGTGCAGAAACAGTGCTTTACTGGAGAAATTTGGATTATGGTATTAATTGCTCATTGTTGCAGTCTCAACCCAATAATGTCTGTCAGGTTGTAACAGGTAATCATCTGGAACTTGACAGGCATTTCACTGGCTAACGTAATTGAATTTGATTTTAAATAAGTAATCAGATATTTTAAAGATTCAAGACATACTCAGAATCAACCTGTGTGAAACAAACTTGCTACTATAAAAATAAAACATTCAGAAGAACACACGATATCAACACTTAATGGCCAGACTAGCAAACTGGAAAAGCCACTATCTGAACACTCAGTGCCTATGTTTGATGTGCAAAGCTTCTTCGGTAATTGTCTCTTCAGGGGCACGAGAAAGATCTTCAGGTTATTAAGCTGAACTAGTTGAATAATAATTTCACAGTTGAGAAATCAATTTGGTGTTGGAAAGAAGAAAGCTTGCTTTTCCTTAAGCTGTAAAAAAGGTTTGAGGTAGATACCTGTTTGTTCTGAAATCTTGTTGGACCTGTGGTCAGAAATTTGATGAGCTTTGCAACACATCGCTTCAAAATGTGCATTTGTAATCTTAGATGTCCAGTGATTTTAAAGGCTTTGCATTCCTTTTTAAAAGTTGGGTTTATGAACTTGGCTTCCAATTTCTATTCAAATGTAGTTTCAGGAGAAGAGTAGGAATGTGGGGGGAGGGAAATCAGATTAATTTATCATGACACCAGAGACTGGATAAACGTAATGATGGGTGATTACTTTTGTATGCATACTGTTACCAGTAGCAAAAATAGTAACTATGATGTAAGACTAGATTTAGTGGCAAATTTAAAGTTAACCTTGTCTGAAAAATGAAGAGAGACCAGTCATCAGAGTTAAAACTAATCCATAAATGGAAAGTTAATCAATTACTTAAATTTATGTTCCATGCTTGCTGATTTTATTTTTAAGTCACTGATGTTGATAAGGGTATAAATCACATAAATCCATTCTGCTATCTTTACCTTGCAATTCAAGACAATGAAAACAGCCAGTGCTGCAAAGGATATACTGGCAGGAGTAAAGATGTGTTTCCCTTGCCAGTTCTACATCCCAGGTCATTCTAGCCTGGTGAAGTCCTGTGCCTTCATGCTTTTCTGATCAGTACAGCACAGCTGGGTCTTCACTCTGATGTTCTGTAAAACTTTACGGAAACTTGTTTCAACATGTTCTGTTGGTTGAATTTCTGTTGTTCTCATTAATAAATGTTTATTTGCACTACTTGCTGTTTTGTAAACCTTATTGCTAAGGACTCCACTGTACTAATACAGTTGCGTCTTCTGCTGTAGAACAATGTCTGCACATGGAATCACTGCAAAGAAAATAAACTTTCCTCCTAGAAAGAGCTGCCCATGGACTAACGATTGTTGTATTATACAGTGTCGTCATTGAATAGCTTTGGTCCTAATCTTGAGGCACAAAGTTCGTCAGTCCTGATTTACTGCCATGGTGGGAGGAGAGGCTGGGTTTTCTGGGGAGTCTGAGGCCTGAAAATCCTTCCATTAGCATCACCATAGACACAATACAGTGTGCTATGTGAAACTGGGGGGAAGGGGCCACAGTTCTGCATACAGCAGGCACATTCTTCCAAGAAGCCTTCCACCTCTCTCTGGAGCTTAGTGAGTCAACAAATTTTTACCACTAATACTTCATGATTCAAAGGCTGGTTTGCTTTAGGAGGTGAGGCCTTGCTGGGTTTTGTTCTGTCAGATTGAAAAACTTCGATGAAGTAGGTAGGGTACAGAGCAAATAAAGGAAAAAAAAAATGGGCATAAAGAGCTGGAACTCAGAACTAGAAAGGATGACTCTGGCATCCCAAAGCTTCAACCAAAGAGTAGTCCTGACTTGTGGTGGTGTTACTCTTCCGTGTTTGCTGACTGGGTTAGCTCTCACCTGCCCTGGTAGGAAGATGCTCTTTTTATAAGAGCAGATGTACAGAACTGGGTGGTCGCATAAGATCATCATGCTGCTTCATGCAGTGTCACTTGTGATGGAAGTGGTGCAGGCTCAATCATGCAGTCTCTGACGTTACCAGTTTTCTGTTTGGCAGAATATGGTTGTGAGCCCTTAAAAGCTTTCAACACTTCAATTCTAGGTGAGGGAGAGGATCCTGCCACAGGGTTACATTGCACACTGCTCACCAGGAAAATGCTCCTAGAGAATTTGAGTATGTTTGATCTGGGCCGTTGAGATTTGCTGACTTTGAATCCTGCAATGGTATTTTTAGAATTGGTTTCCAAATGTGGAGCCATGCTTTAATTTCTATGCAGGACTGGAATGCCATGTCGGCTGACCCTTATAAATGCTTGAGTGGGTTTGGAAGAAGCACATCTGTGTCTAATGAGTCTAATTAGAAATTAAAAACTTAAAGTTTTATAGCTTTGGGTGAGTAGAAAAGGATTTTAATACAGAAGCTGTGTCTGTCTTGATGTATGCATGATGCGTGGGGAGAAGAAAGGTGACCCTGGGAAACTTTTCATGAACTTCTTCCAGTTCCTGAGGCATGTGCACAAAAGCCCACTGTGTTTCAGTCTTCAAATACTGCTCAAATCTCTAGAGGTAAATGCTTTATGCATTTCATCATCTTGGTTAAAATGCAGGTGAATGCCCAGAATGGCATTCATTTGCCCACTTCTTAGTTGTTGTAAGTGCTGATTTGGAGCACCTCTGTGTCACCCGGGAGAATGACAGCATATTTTCAGCAGCGCATGAAAACACGAAGGTGTGTTCTGAGAGAATTATTGAAGCGCAGAGCCCGACTGTCAAGTAGTTTGGTTGCAGAAGGACAGGAGGCTTATGCAACAGTGAGTCTGTCCATTTTCCCCTGACATATGTTTTTTGTTGGCTGATACAAGCCAATTTTAAAGTTCTTTTCCAAAGATAATTAGGATGCCATATTTCAGGTTCTTCACTGAAAAACAGGAGTAGGGTAGAAGAGACGCAAACAAGTGGCCCACTGTGGGAAGGACAGACAGAATTCAGGCAGGCTGGGGTCTGCATGGCAGCTGCCTGTAACCTGGGCCACGTGCTCCTGGCTCTCGTCTGGTTCAAGTGATGCTTTCTGCTTCCCGACAGTGGTGATCTAGGGAGGGATATTGCAGCAAGCTGGGGAGAAGATGGTTAAAGGGCAAAATAAATTTTTGTGTAACCAAGATTCATTAGTTTTCCTGGTTGTTACTTTTTAGAAGGAAATCAGAAGGGTTGATTTTTAGAGAAAAAGAACTGGCTGTGGATCAGTGTAATCTAACAGCCAGCAGAGTAACAACTTGTAAGGTACAAAGCATGTTAACGAAGGGTGAACTTTGACCACATGGTAGCACAGCACTTGGTGTCAGGACCATATGAGATGGTTCAGAAAGGCCTCTCTGAGCATCATGTTTGTTAACTTTCATCTTGTTTTTGAGGCTGTAAGCTTATTTCTTCCACCCTGTGCTTCAGTTTCTTTGTTCCTGGTTCTCTGAACCGTCTCCTATTGTCCCCAGTAGCCCAATGTTCCTCTGTATATTGGTTGTTGGGTTGGGGTTTTTTTTCTGTTTAAATGATAGATTGTGATTTCCTTCAGGCAGAAGATGAAAAAAAAAATCTAAGCAACAGGTTAAATTGTTCTGTGAAAGCCTCAGTTACAATAATGCTGGCTTTTCCCTCTCCCACACAGACTTAGACTGAATGGAAAATGTGTTTGAGAGAAGAACTGTATTGGAGAAACCTGCACTAGTGTTTCAGATCCTTTAAGTGGATTAGCTGTCCATCACATCATAACAGAGTATGGCCACTCAGGTCCTGCTGTGCTCCATTTTCATTAGCACAGTTCCTTCTTTTGCTTGTATGAATTCATTTCAAAATCTAAGTCAAAATAAAAATTTATTCCTCTCTGCAGCTCTGGTATTCTGGGGCAAAGTGCAATGACTGTGCCCTTGCACAAAGTCATCTGTCGCCTGACTTGGCTTAGCATGTCCCATGGGAGAGCAGTGCCTTGGCAGCCTGGCTTTGAGAGCAGTCCCTCCTCAGGCCCGTCACCTGGCATGGGCAGGGGCGGGTGCAACTAGCAGCCTACCAGCCGGATTCAGTGCAAACCATCTGCTTCTCACAGCAGTGCTGGGTAAGTATCTCAGCGTGTTTCACGCCCTGGAAACTTTGTGCAAACATGTTCTTGTATGGTGGATAATGAGGAAGTCCTGAACGTTTCCAGCCTGCAGAGAGGCTGTAAAAGCAGTAGCCGAATCAGGGGTGGGTCAGATGCCAGCAGTCAGCAGAGATGATGATGCTGTGGACTAAAAAGAGTCACTCCACTACACACAGCGCTGATAGATTGAGCCCTGGCACACTGAGCTTCGCTTGCTCAGCCACTTCTTGCAGGGAAAGCAGTTCACCACGCTGTGGAGACAAGCTGTTCTCTCTGGACAGCCCAGGGCATTCCTCCCAGCCCTCTCCTGTTTCTGCCACCAGCCTGCAGCTCTAGGGGTGGTTTTGCTAAGCACTAACTGCCTGTTTCATTCAAACAGGGAAGGAAGGGTCTTGGTGGATGTGCCTTTTCTCCCATTACCTTAGACTTCAGAGCTGCTCTCTGTAATGCTGCAGTGCAGGTGAGGCTCATGATGTCCTGTTCAGCTGGAGCTATGAAATGTAAGTCATTGTGATCTGTGAACCGTCATCCTCCTGGGGTCCTTCTGGCTGGCTGTGCATAGCCAGGGTGGGGCAGCGTCCTCTCAGCTGGCTCAGGATGGTGGGAAGGGGAGAGGAGAGGGGATGCAGTATCCTCAAGGACAAGAGAGCTAGTTCATTTTCCCAGAAACCTATTTCCCCCTTCTCCAAGACTGCACACCTGTCTGACCTTGAAAAAAGGGCACAAGCTTCAGGAGACTTGGACACAGGTTTTCCATGAGGCAGAGTGCTGTGTAGGCGGCATAGCACAGCAGCTTTGGAGCTCCTGTAGGGCTCAAGAAACATAATTATACATCTGGTATCTCAAAGCTGGGACAAAATACTGGGGCAGACATTGCATTGTCCACCACAGCTGCTCCGGGAATTAAAAGATGTCAGACTCCTGCTAAAGTGGTCCTGCTCCTTAGTATGGTGGAGCCCCATTTAGTCAGTACCTGCAGAAAATAAAGTATCTGAATTGGATCTTCCAGTTGGTTTTGTTGCTGGAAAGGAGGAGTGTTGTATCACACAGAATCACACAGAATGGCAAGGGTTGGAAGGGACCTCTGGAGATCATCCAGTCCAACCCCCCTGCTAAAGCAGGGTCACCCAGAGCAGGTTGCACAGGACATCATCCAGGCGGGCTTTGAATATCTCCAGAGAAGGAGACTCCACAGCCCCCCTGGGCAGCCTGTTCCAGTGCTCCGTTACCCTCAGAGTAAAGAAGTTTTTCCTCATATTCAACTGAAACCTCTTATGTCCCAGTTTGTACCCATGAATCTTTGAAGCCGTGTTGTTTGGGTTGAGAACAGGAGAGATTTTTTCGCTGTCTTTTCCCCCACCCTGTTTTTCATCCATCTTTTCAATAACTGATAGCTGCTAATCAGGCTGTTCCAAAATCAGCACAGTAAAACAGAGCTAGTTTTATAAAGTTCTGCTGCTCACAGTCCTTTTCTCCATCCTAACAGAAGTACCCAGAATGCCTGTTCTTGCTGTGGTGCTGGTGAGCAGAGCACAAGCAGCCACAGAAGTCCTGTCTGCCTGCAGATGGAGGACAGCATTGTGTTGCCTCATGTGTGGAAGCAGAGGGGTCAGGGCTTTACTGCTTTCACATGGAAAGTTTGCTTTTCCGGCAGGTGTGGTCATCAGCCTGTTAGGGACAGAGTCCTGCACTGCTGTTTCTTTTTTGGACTACAGAAGTGACTGCTAGTGAAGTCTACAGTTTAAACTAGGGCACTGAGGTGAAAACCTCTGTTGTCCTTCATCAGTGCCTTGCAACATTAAGGCACCAGGGTTAATCTTATGAAAGGAATTGGCAAATTGACAAGGCATTTTTTTTAATCTAATTGCCCTTGCATTTTGATGACCAGTTGCGGCCACTGACCCTTAAATGAGTCAAAACCTTCAAATCATAGGCTTGGACAGTACACACCTTGACATAGTTTCCAAAACCAATGATAAACTACAGTTTTAACAGCTCTTTTAAATATTAAAAAAAACCCTGAGATAAATACACCTTCAGCAGGTTAGATGCTTTCTTCTGAAACTTGCTATACATGAGCCGAGATGAATAAAAAAGGAAAGAGTCAAAGGTAAAAGAGGTAAATCTGCTGGTCGCCTTCTAATCTGGTGATTCCTGTGCAGTGTTGCAGGCTACTTTCTGATTTGCAGTCTGAGTATGCTGGTCCTAAAAATGTTAATAAGCCTTTTGTAAATGAGTTTTAACTTGTTAATTAAGAATTTCTAGCTATGGTTGTGACCTGCAGGGAAATGTTTAATTGGCTGTTTTCCCTAGCTGGTTAAATGTCTTCTTACTATAAGAGAAGAGTGTATGCTTATGGGATTTGATTGCCTCAGATCTAGCGTAAGCCAGGGATTCCTGTGCTTAACACTGCTGCAGAAATTTTCATTAGTGACCTGCGCAGCGGAGCAGGCACTCGGTTGCTCTTCCCTTGGAAATGAATGCAAGTAGCAGGAGGCAACAGAAATGTACTCTTCCCTGATGGAGCATGGACACAGGTTTCCCACAGAGGTGGAGTCTCCATCCCTGGGGATATTCAAAAGCCATCATGTCATAGTCCTGGATATCTGGCTCTAGATGGCCTTGCTTGAGCAGAGAGGGGTTGGACCAGATGACTTCCAGAGGTCTCTGCAAACCTCAGCCAGCCTGTGATTCTTCTCAGCCAGCAAAAGAGGGAGGGAAAGGATGCACCCTCACGGTCGCAGTAAGGCATGCTGTGAGTCAGCAGCTAGGAGAGGTGCAACAGGCCAGAGAGGAGCAGGGGGGCATTTGCAGCCACCAGCCTGTGTTTGGAAGAGGGATGGCCAAGGCATGAAAGGTAATGCTTGACAATCCCAAATGAGATGAGGGTGACTAGAGATTGTGCGTGGAACCAAAACATAGGCCTGGGTCCGTTGTTGAATGGGAATGCCTACATGTAACCTGGACTGGCTGCCCAGCATCCAAACTATGATCACTGCTATCTGCTAGAATTACTGTATGCTGTGCTAAATTCCACTTACTTGTTTGTAGTTAAGTACCCATACAACTTTGGTTAGATAATCTGGAGAAACTGTAGAAACTCATTCAGTGCTATTTACAGTGACACCCGCTTTCCCTTCTGCAGAAATGCAGCCACTACTGAAGACAGCAGTACGCCTTGGGTGTGCGGGGAAGAGGCACTGCGTGGCCAGGATCATTGCCATCACTTTCAGTTAATTGGGACAGGGCTTTCCTACTCAAGTGAAGAACACTTCAGCACCTTGCACAGACATGCTTTATGCAGTACAAAAGACCAGAAGAATATTTCTATAAAAGTAATTTAGAACCTTTTTCCAATTACGTTTTACAGATAGTTATTCGTCACTGCGCTGCAGCTTCCTTTTAGTGCTTGGTTGTGGCTGAAAATAATCCAAAGCTTGAATTCATATTTCATCAGGTTGCAGCCAAAATCTGGAAATCTGGTCACGTCTATGTGCAGCCATTATTGCATTTAATGAGAACTGTATGTCTGCAACAAATGGCACCCCACTTATCTTCATCTAATCATCATGAAAACCCCCACTGCTAAAAAAATCTTAGAAAAATTGGGGTGAATCCCTGGTCAAAAGTAACTGCCTTGTAACAATGGCCATCCAGAAATACCTGTTGCAACATAGGTATGAAGAGTGAAGAAGCCCTCTTTCTCCATTCCTGTATAAAACTCTTTTGAGTGTTTCGTTTGAGAGAGCAGCCACATGGTGGTTACCACTGTTGCAAACCACTGCACTGATTCAGATGCATTGAGATGAGCGGACAGTGAGAAGAAGTGGGTAGAAAACGACTGAGGACTGTGTGTGCAAGAAAACCTTTAAAGCAAGTGCTGTTGGAAGAGTGAACAATATTCTGCTTATTAATGTAGATTGGAATTTCCTGCTACCTGAGAATAATGCAAAGGTCACTCACCAGCTGCAAGCAGACAGCGTGCGGTTGATTCTAAAATTAGTTAACCTCTAGCATTTCTATTTCTTACCTGCATTTCTTGCTCTCTACCTTAGGTCTGGGAATCCTATCAAAGATATCGCAGGCTTGAGAGAAAATTAATTCTTTCTTTTTTTCTTCTCTGTAAACTTCTGTAAACTGCTGTTGAGATAACTAGGTGTCTGTTGCCTATCATTATGGCCAGGGTATTATTATGGCCCTAAAACACTTCACATAGGCTCAGTCACATGATTTTAACTCTCAAATGGCTTACAGTTATCATTTCCTGCCCACCGGCTGGAGTCTGCTAGCACAACCATGTTTCAAATGGCTTACAGTTATCATTTCCTGCCCACCTGCTCCACCGGCTGGAGTCTGCTAGCACAACCATGTAATCTGCAACCATTTTATGCTGACTTTCTTAAAGTATTCTCTTTTATATCTTGGACTGAGAGACAAGCTCAGGGAGAACCTGAATAATGGCCTCAGAAAACCCTCAATTTCTTTTTGCTGATGAGCCGGGAAACACTGGTGTGGTAATGCAGCACCATGGCCAGTCTGGGGATGGAAAAATTTTTGGAGCCTTGGATGGAAAGGAGGACAGCAGCACTGCAGGCATAAACCTGCCCCTGTGTTAGCTGACATGCAATGCAATGCTAACTACTGAAGAAAATAGAGAGCTCCTACTCCTGCTTTAGGGGATCTTGCAGAAAGGTTTTAGCCTGACAGCTGTATAAAATAAATTACTTCAGAGCAGAGACACCTTTCTTGGGACATGTTGCTGATCCATTGCCTGCAGAGGTGATTTGTATGGCAGAGAGGTGGTGATCCTTAGAAGACCATGGCCAGCCAATACCACAGGAGGAACTTGTGACATTTGAGTGAGTTTAAGTACTGAGAGCCAATTGTGCTGTCTGGGTATAATAAACCAAATCCTTCCCTCTGCAGAATATTATTGGGGAGATGCCGGTTAGTCTGATACACATCACAGGTAATGAATGGATGGCCACTGACTTGCTGTTCTGCGTGTGAGTGTTGTGTATCTAAGCCTAAGGTGAGACCTAGGCGGCTCTGTTCTGTCAGTGGATATCACTGCTCTGCACATGCTACCGGTAGCTGCTGTGGGTAGAGCTGTGTTAAAGCAGGTATGGACACAGCAAGGCATATGGGACATCATTTAATCACACAGCTAGTCATATTATACCAAGAGAGTATTTAATAATAGATAAAAGTCTCATTTTTTTAAAGCCCTTGTAGTTGGGAGAATGTGCTCGGGAATGCCCTGCATCCAAGGAGCACTGCAGACATGGACACCACAGGAGGGAGAGATGACAACACCGCTCTGTGCAAAAGCCCTGGGCATCTTTGCTTTTTCTCTAGCCTCTCCATCCACTGCGGCATGTTTAGTGGGACAGGCTGTAATATGTTTGATAGCTTCTCTGATCCCCTTGTTTATGCTGAAACCTGTAAGAATTTGAAATTTAATCTCTTGTTAAACGTTTTGATGTTCTGCATATTTAAGTACATCACCGGGCTAGGCTGCCTAGTGGGGATTTAATACGAGAGAGATTAAATGCAAACATACCTTTCAAATGTTGCTAGACTTATAGAGACATTAGTGTTATTTTATACAGAAAAAGGAGAACTTCATCTTAGATGTTACATTCTCTCTCATAATTTTGTTTTGACAGTGATGAGAGTACTTAACAAGGCAGTGGGGGCTGCAGAAGCACGTTTTTACACTAATGTAAAAACCTCAAGCAATGCCATTAAAAGAAAAGTATTCTCTTCAGGTTTCCTTAGTGGACCACAAGCAGAGTGTGGTCTGCAATCTTGTGTTGTGTCTTAAGCATGGAAATCTCTGTAATGATAAAAGCTACCAAACAGAAAAACCAGCCATCAGCGATGCATCCATCTACACAGAACACCCAGAAAATAGCAGCAAAAGGGAAGGAAACCCCCCCACGCCATGGCCTTATGCTCACTGAACTTCTGTGTAGCCTGACGGGGGTGACCAGTGTACCGCTGGCATCTAGCGCTGCGCTCCCAGCACGGTCTGCGTGTGGCTGTCTGGTGGCCGCCTGTGCACAGGGTGGACAGGAGGACGTTGGTTGTTGGTAGGGCTTTTTTTGTGT